CAGCCACCGCCAAGTTGGTCTCACTGCGAAGAAGAGCCTTTTTGCAGGGCTTGATGTATGATTGTCTTGGGGAATGCTGGCAGGTGCCGAGACAGACTCTCCTCGGAGCTCAAGAACTTGTTGATATCAATTGGTTCTGAACTTATCACGAGAACAGGAAAGCTGATTCTGAAACCTGAGTATAAAGGTTAGTACGAATAGGAATTAAGATTAAACATTGCTTCTTGAGCTGCCCTCTTGCGGAGCTTGCATGATTGGGTCTGTTCACCATTGTAGACACGCAGCATTACCCCCACCGGCCCCAAGGTTCTCCAATATATCCAGACCCTACTAGATTGCTTGAAAAAGCTCCGGAGCTATTCTGCAGAAGTCCCCTGCTTTCATCAGGGATTATTATGAGGGTTCTGCATTCGGGGAGCCAACAGCCATCAAACCCTTGCCACAAGAAGCATTGAGCTCGCAAAGGTCGCAGGTCTTCTACCTCGCCGTTCAGAGGACCTTGCCAACCAGCCTTTTGCCGCCCATTTCTCAAAATCAGGACAACCAAGCCAAGCGCAAAATTCGGCACGCTACGTTCTGTATCCAGGATCGTTTCCTGCCTGCACTGCCTCCAGTGTCTCGTGCTCAGAATTGCTGTAGTCATGGAACCTGGAAGAGGATTCACAGATTGTGCTTTCACTTCCTCCATTGACATACCATGATCCGGAGACGTGTAGAAGCATGGAGATATGGATGCTGCTTCATATTCTAGTATCGATGCCCGGCATTCGGATTTCCTCGCGCCCGCCCTTGCACCGTCTTGCGCGCGGGGGCATTTACATGCAATTCAACATAGGGCAGACATGAATGCATCGAGTCAACATGTATGTGGAAGTATTCGCTCTTGCGCCGCTCGTGAGCGAGCTTGCACTTGCACAAGCACAGTTTTCTCAAGCCATTGCAAACCCCTAATGCCGCCCGTCGTCTTGCCACAATCGGCGGGTAAGAACGGTATCCATATGTCAAGGGGATCTTGCATCCAGGCAACCAGCTGCAACCCGCATCCATTGGGCTCGGAACATGTCGGTTTCGGCATGTCCTAGCACAGCAAAGATTGGGCACAGATGGCAGGACCAAGAGATCAGAAGTCAAGACCTACAAGACGCTAAACGTAGGGATTTGGACAAATAATGTCTGCACTGGCCGTCGCTACTAATCACATATTAGGTCTGCCATTGCACTTGCTGCTCCAGCACAGCCCGATCCCAGGCTCTGCAATCCGCCAAGCATAACTTTCAAAGATGAAACAGCGCCAAGTAGAGCGAGTTGCTGGAAAGCATGGCAGAGGTAACACTGGCCGTAGAGAGCCAGGTCAAGTTCTGTTGGCTGAGCAGCCTTCCTAGGAGAGCACAAATCTGGGTTTGCGGCCAGCTGTTATGACAGTTATGACTGTTTGCCCCAGCTACGTCCATTTGTGAAAAGACCTCTTGGAGCTGTTCAGCCGTGAAGGACCTTTCAATGGTGTTGAAAAGTAAGGGTAGGGTAATCAGACATTTTTCAATTTGTGCGTAGCTGTCTTGAGTCGTAGCAGTCACGGGTGAACCGGTGAACCTGTCTGGACTTTCCGAATGGAGCAACCAGGCTGAGGAAGTCCTAAAGCGCAAACGTGCTTTTTGGTTGGGAACGGCTCTATCGGCCTTTGATCCTTGATGAACTTCGAAGGATCTCAGCCTCCGGCTGCAAGTAATCGGCAAGGAGCACAGACACCGGCGCATGGGTTCCAACCACAATGATGCGCCCAAATGAGCCTGCAGTTGCAAAGACTGGTCCATGAGACTCGGTGCAACTGCGTCCACGTCAACTGCTCGGAACTTTTGCATCTTACGCCTGCACGAGGTCTTGTGGCCTCAGCAGAAGCCATGAGTGTGGACTTCAAGTCTACATTGTCAGTGGCGTGAAAGATTCTGGAATCGGTGCATCTACAGCACATTCGGGGTTCTCAAGAACAGAAAAACTTGTGCGCCCATGTATGTCTTTCACATTTGCTCTGCTGTGCCTTCCAGCCGTTGGGAAGAGGCAGCCGGAACACGCAAAGCCAAGTACGCTCGCCGGGCAGGATCTGACGGAGCAAGAAGGGCTGGGCTTTCTGAAGCTTAGCAGCTTATATTAGATTGACCGCATCTTGTGAGAGCTGTATGTGACTGAACGAACTTGGCTTTGCGTCCTACGCACAAATCAGCTCACAGGCAGGAGTCAGGAATGAAGGCAAAGCTGGTGATAGCATTCTGCTTGAAGTTGGTGGCAGCGAGGGATCTCCAAAAACATGCATGAGCAGCCCCTTGTTGCTTTCTGTAGCTGGCATTGAAAACTGAGAACAAAAAACAGCGAGATGTGACTGGCCTGGCTCTTCTGGCTTCTTCCCATGCAGCCATGGAGGCTCCTCTAGAACAGACGATCCCAGCACCTCCGTCTCCTGGCGCAAGACCCATCTGTCCACATGTGCGCTCTTTGAAGTTGAAATCTTGCACTTTAAGCGGGTTGTCTTTGAACTTTGAACCAATGAGGCATTCACGTTCATTGTATTCAAGCTAGCTTCCAAGGTGGTCGTTATTGATCTTTATGAGAAATGTCGATTCTTTCAAGAGCCATGTGCACGGTGTGCAGAAATAATGCAGGTGTCTGCGCACACTTGAAAGGTGCAGCGGCTGTAGCGCGGATCCCGCCTCATGTCATGTGAAACATCTACAGAATTGCAACTCCTCTGTCGCAGTATGGAGTGCCGCACCTTGTCTACGAGCCCTGCGAGTCATAGCTCTAGCATCTATCATTTATGAAGGTCGGGGCCTTGGCGGGCAGCTGCGAGCTCACCTCTCCATGCAGCTCCTGACCAAAAAACCGCAAATTGCTTCAGACGCGGGCGTCAAGATGCATAGTCTGCTGCAATTCCTGACGCTTTCTGGTTTCAGATTTGTTGCCCTCCCGCGTCTTGGTAAGCTCTCGGACCACAACACCGTCCAGGTCTCAGGGTGGTACAATTAACTCGTCACAAGCGCAGCCATACTTTGGATCAGGTGATCGTGTGTCTTATGCGTGACTTTGGCAAACGGTCTTCCAAGCTCCTGCATGATGTTCAGAGCCAGGACGCTGCACCTTGCAGAAGCTGGTCTCAAAGCACAAGCACAAATGCTTCATGTTTTTCAATGTTGTGCAGCTCCCCAAGCAGGAATATGGCTACATCCTCCGCATCAGCGTCAGTGTCTGCAGAATAGGTTCTGGAGCATCTAGAACAAAAAATGGCGAGCAGACGACAAAACATAGTCTTGGTTCGTCTGGGGAAAGCATAATGACACATTCAAGTAGGGCTGCTCGCAATACGAACATGCAATAATTGCCGCTACCTGTGGGTGCCTCCATTTCAAAACATCCAAACAAGCTGCAAACTTCACGACTCTGTTCGGAAAAGCTTTACGTCCTTAATCTTGCACATGCAAGGCCTAGCTGGATGATGCAGGTCCCTCCAGGATGACTAACCTGATCCCAAATCCTCTAGATAAGGATTTAATTACAAATCTATCGGCCCTTTGTCGTCCAAGGCGCCCCGGTGCCATGAAGTTCTTCTCCAGGCATCTTTGTGGAAGGCAAACGACCACGGCCACGGCACTGGGCGGTGACAGCAGGTTCCAAAAGCACGCAACCCAAGAACTTGAGATTGCTGCCATCAGCCCGCAAAGCAATCCCCGCAGAAGCCATGTGCAAACTCGGTCAACGGTCTCTGTTGATATCATGACTTTTATCCATTGAATGCTTAGCCTGAATCCTGGAAACACCAACCCGCCATCCGTGCAACTGTGGGGCTCATCATCTGTTCGGCTGCTCCGCCTAGGAGGGCATGCCCACTTGCAGCAAACGATTCAAAACCCGAAGCAATTCTGACGAATAATCTCCCAAACTGACCAACTTCAATGGCTCAGAACCTGGAGTATCCTCGGGCCTCCCCGATAGAGGCTACTGATCGCAGTGTGGCTGCTCCGGCTTTGTGCGAATTATCAAGAACGGCCCTGAGACCACGGAACAGTGAAGGAGCGCTGCCTGACTTTGAGATCTGATTGTCCCAAACCATGCTGCAAAGCCACTCCATTCCAAGGGCGAACTGGCGCTCAAGCTCGAGCTTCTCATTCAGAACCTGGGCGCTGGCATCTCTCACGTGCCTTGCTTGGAATCATGCGGAACAAACTACTGAGTTCTATGGCGTGCATCCGAACCGATAATGTGGCTTGGCAACCTGCACGCCAATGGAGATGCGGGCAGCTCGAGTTTGGCCCTGGGGCTTGCCAAAGGTGCAAGGCTTAATTCCTCCCTGCATGATTTTCATGCCTTGGGAATCTAGAGGCACTTCATGCTGCTTTGGCAAGTGGTTCCTCTGAAGACCTGCAGATTTGTGCGTAGCTTACCTTTGCTAGTGTTCCTGATGTATCGCACCAAGGTCATTTCAGAAGCCGCCTCCCTTCAAGCTGTGAGCTGTGGGAGGTCAGCCCTAGACCCTTTGGCCACATGGTTGCATCACCGGTTTTGTGCATGCTCTTCCACTGTCATTGCCAGACCTGTCCTTGCAGTATTCTTCTGCTGCTGCTGCCACTAACGCGGCGGCCAAAGCACACACTGCGCGCACCATGCTGCAGATCCTTGCGCTGAAGCTTGGACACGGTCTAAGCTTGCTTTGGCTGCAGATGTAGTGCTGGGCGCTTGTGCAGGGTGGGCTGGTCTTGCTGGTTACGGCCGCTTCCGTCATGAATGAGATGTCATGCTGCTCCAACTCTTGACCCGTTTGCGGATGAGCGGAACTGATCTAAGCAACCGATGTGCTAGCTACTAGCACTAATTCTCAGTGAGCTTGAGCAGCATGTGCCAGGTTCATTAAACCAAATCAGATTCACCTTGCGGCGCTGCCAACTTCAAGCTAATCTGCCAAGTACTCACATACTGTACAGTAGCCAGCCCTTGCAGGATGCGGCGAATCCGACCTCTTGCGCCGCCTTCCAGTATGCCTGAGGCAGGAGAGGGCTTGGTGGACTGTTGGGGTTCTGATTCTTGACAGCAATGGGGTTTCCGCGTGAAACCAAGCTTCACAACATGCCACTCAAAACGAACTGACTGAAACGACCGGGCCACCCCGCCTTTTTGGCTGTTGAGAAGCACCTCTCGCAGAGATCGAAGTCACAGCTCCTGCTCTCCCCAGCTCGGGTAGGACCGCATGTCAGGATTCAATCCTTGTGCCTCCAGCCTCCAGCTAATTTCGTCTTGGGCTTTAGACTTTAGACCCTCATTGATCCCAACACAGAGTCAAAGTCTGCTTGCTTGGACCTTTTTCCTTGCCAACCGAAGGTGGTCCGGAATCACTTGGAAAAGGGCTCACAGTCGCATTCCCACGGATTCTCTGCAAGGTGTCAGCTGAATTTCCTTGGACTGCCGCTTCATTTGGGACCGCATCTTTGCTTGAGGGAGCTGGGGCTTGCCTTTCAATCCGGGTTTGCCTTCCGTTGTTGGTTTTCGTGAAAACCCACTGACTGCTAATCCTGAACTCAATCCGAACTAACGTTCTGCCCTGCATTGAAGTGTTTGGTCCCAGTGCGTAATCCTGTGTCCAGGGCACGTACGACCAAACAGAGGGCTTCTGCTCGTGTAGTGCAAGGAATGCGTCAGCGATGTCCGCAGGATCCTGTCAGGCGTCACGTCACACGCACAAGCTCCTCGCAGGAAAGGACCCCAGCCCACGGCTTTGTGCATCTCCAGGCCTGGAGCATCACCTGGTCAGGGATTAAACATCCTGCGATTGTTAAGGCAAAAGGGCTGAGGGAACCTTTGCACCCCAGGACTTCGTGTTCGGAGACTCAATGACGCCATCGATGACGACGTGTGCTACATGCACGCCCTTAGGCGCGTAGGTCTGATACCTTGGGAGCAAAAAAGGTACGCCTAGACTCAAATGATGGCAGCTAGCTAGAGTTGCGACTACGAGCCGACCAGTACTGTCCTGTATGGTGGCACTCAATCTGGATAAATTCTGAGGTAGAGTTGGTAGAACGTTAGTGAGCGTCAGAGTCCTGCTCAAGACCTCAAACAGGCCTGCTGAACAAAAATCATGCGTGCACAAGATGACGACTTCAGTCTGCAAGCTCCCCAAAGAAGGCTGACTGTGGGAAAAAATACAGGCTTTCACTGGAGCCAGTCTGGGTTGCTCTTGCTATATCGCTGCTGGAGCATACTCTGTCTCAACGTTGTAAGAGTCCTTGTTGGGGAAATACTTCCTGATTCGCAGCAGTATGAACGACAGCAGGAGATGGTGATGAAACGAGCATGCTGACAGGGTTGCTCATACACCCCTGGGCTTGGGATAGATTGCAGTCCAGGGCGCATGGCCTGACCCAAAGACCGCAAGGCCGCCTGCATCTTCCAAGTTGCTCTGGAATGCCGAACCTCTTGACCAATATTGTTGTAGAAGCATGTCCTATTTCACAAGCTCCGCTTGTTCCTATCCAATTCAACGTTGCAACAATCCTTCACGTACAGCCCCTGCGCTAGCCTCAACGCACAGGTGACAGCTCCAATCCTGTCATGTTTGCTTTATTGCCAAGGCCTTGATGGGTGCCATGCACGCAAATTTTGGTCCTGGCCACGTTTGCGAACTGCAGATTGCTTGGCGTGGCATGCTTGATTTAATTAGCAGCCAGATTCTTCTCACATTTCGTCCGCTTCTCGGCTTCTGCGCTCACACTGAAGATCCTCACTGACCCAACTTCCCAACGGAGGGCCGCATACCCAAGCGCACTCCACAAGTCTACCTCGTTGCGATTGGAGACTAGACCGTACAGTTCTCGATTTCCTGCAAGGACCCTCTCTTTGACGTCCAAAGCCAGCTCCCAATAACGAAACCTGTATCCTACATCGAAAGCCTGGCATATCACCTGCAACTTGTGTGCACACTTCGCAGCCTCCCCGCAGAGCCATGGTAGCCCCACTGAGAAGAATAGTCCCGCGCCCGCGCCTCTAGCGCCACGAGTTCATGCAAGGGTGGGAATCACCTTTGGGAATGGAGACCGCGGTAAACTGAACAGCACATCATGATTTTGGCTTTGGCGCTCCATCATGTCCGGAGCAATTTCACGGATGCATCTGACCTCGCGCAGGAGCCAGGGCTTGGAGACGCTTCGTCAACTCATGGAGGCATTGCTTCCAACTCCAGCGAAGAGCAGCTTGCATGCAGTTATAGATGATTTGCCGGGCAAGGGACACATCCACTGACCCCAATGTTGAAGGCTCGTGTGAAGTATTCCGGATCCACTGCCTGTGCCAGCACTCGTGAGCACTGCTGGCTCGATGTTGGGCCATGGGGATCTAGCGCAAACAGCTAGAAACGGCTAGTTTCGACGTGCAGCTACTGCAAGTATTCCTTGTGGAAGTCTTCAGCATCTTGACGGACTGGACTCCCGCTCAAAGCCCTTCCCTCCTAACGGAAAGCACAAACAGCATGTCTGTCCTCTGCCATTGGAAGATTGGTGAAGTCGCATCCCGGCGGAAAAGGAGGCGCCACGTTGTAAATCACCTTCCCCGCTGTTTGGACGTTCGCTTGCCCTTCAGACCAACTTTGAATGCCTCGTATAACTGTAGCTGTACGGCGACGCTCTTTTAACATCTGGGTTTTCTCACCTTGGCGCTCCTGGTGTGCTACCCGTTGGCTATGCCATAGGAATGCGCTTGAAGGTCTGTGCAGAACATGAGCCGAGGCACAACTTCAACAGTGCCCAGCGTTTGCGCCGAGTCAAACGCCTGCTTCACACTTGCGCTGTCCTGCCGGCGATGACATGATGAGCATTTCGGGCGGCCAAGTGGAATGGAATGCAGTCCCTAAAACAAAGCGTCCAGGCTCTGGGCCATGCTTTGCTACCGGCTACAGATAACAAGGATGTGGAACGGCTCTAAGCTGTTAGTCTACTTTTAAGTGCAAAAGATGTAACGGTTCTTGAATAAGAGCATACATGCACATTTGCAAGAAGGACAGCGATGTGATCACTCTGCATCCTCCACGTCGCACTGTATGCAGGTTGCAGTGCCGCCAACGGCTTGCACCTGCGGCTTCCCACGGCAGCTCCAGTACTCAGCTTTGGAGCTTCCCAAGACAGTAAAGGCGAACCTTAAGATACCTTAAACCTGCAGCGGCAATGTGTCGCGAAGCAGCATCATGTGCTGACAGCGCGCTCGCATACTATCATCGATGAGTGACTCATCTAATTCCAGACTCACTTCCGAAGTTGTCACAGAATGCTTTGGCATGTTATGGCCTAGGCACCTCTTTGGCAACCCCCTCCATAATGGGAACTCGCCGCCCGAAGAGGGCGACATGGAATCCAGCCTGGCAAGCAGCTACAAATGGCACAATATTGGCGGAGACTGTGGGCACCTGCGACATGCTTCTTCAGAGGCCCAAGCTTTGCAGATGGGCCATTGATCGAACCGATGGCCAGACGCGCTGGCCGCTGGATTCGTATCCAAGCTCTGCAAGATATAGTGTTCAGGTTTGGGGGATTTCAGATGCGCATCCTCAAGCCTTTCATCAAAACTCGATGCGCAAAGCACCTTCAACAACGGCAAATTGCCAAGCAACAAGCCCAGTCGCAAGAGCTTGTGCTCCACAGCAAGTGTCTGTTCTGGTTTGCAGGAAACAGGAACCGGGCCTGGGCGAAACGAAGGCAGAGCGCACCTCCCAATCCCCAGCGGCTTGTTGCGGGCAGCTCCGTATCTGTACCATCCTTGTGATCCAGGAGGGTGCAAGCGTGTTCGCTCCGAACCGGGATCTTTGAATGTGTCATGTTGGTAAATGAGGTCAACAACTGATCTTTCCTCATCGCCTCGAACATTGATCAGGGACTTGCGTCTCGAAGGAGCTTCAGCACTCTTACAGGGCTCCATGCTACACCCTGTGCTTCACAGAATCTTGGGATGACTTTTGTGCAGCTAGTGTAGCTCTTACAGAAGGCTTGGATGTTTGCTAGTTCAGGGGCCACACTGCAAGGTCCAGCTTTTAAATGATTTTGAGCATGCATGAGCACCTGCTTTTGCATCTTCAGGAAGGGCCGTACAGAAGCCAGGACTTGCAATGTCATGTAGATGCTACAACAAGATGGTGGTATACTCACTGATAAGAATGAAACTTCTGATGTGTTCAGCATCTGAATCTTGGCTCTGAAGGAAGCATGGCTGTGTGAGCTTTGTCGCGGCACTTGCGTCTAACAGCTGCAGCTGAGCGCACCTTGTCATGCTTGGATGCTGCCCCCACGATGACAGCGACTTTTACCATGATGGTGAAGGGGCACGGGAACCTGGAAGGGTGTCCCTGGAGCCCCAAAGCTGCGGAAGCTCTGTGAATAGATGTCTCTTTACTGTAGCTAGCGCACAAAATGCGACGGAAAAAACACAGGCATTTTGATACATCCATGTGCCGTGGTAAGAAGCATTCATTCTTCTACACGGTCTAAACATCAGCCACCACATATTTCAATCTTACTCCTGCATCGGTAGGTGAAGCTGCAGTCGATCCGCCGCTGGCACCTCCGAGTCTCAGTGGTACAGATTGCACCACGTCCAGCATGGCCAGAATTACTTGCAACTTGTGATTTCAAAGCAGAGTGCTCTCAGCTGGCCTATCACACAGCTGCGTGCCGATGTCACAGCTGACCTCATTTGCGCGTCTGGCGAATTCTTCAGTATTCACCGAGACACTTTCTATATCCAGCCGAGCAACTAGTTCCAGGGCATGGCCCACGCCACATCGCAGGGCTCGGAGTGCCTGTTAAGAAATTACGAGCCCTGCAACTCTGGAACCATTGTACTGACGCTGAAAAGGTGGTGCACTAGACGACTGAAAGGATCTTCAAATTCAGGTGCGACCTAATCTTGAAATACCAAATTCTCCATGGGAATGACTTGATTTGCAAATATCATCATCAACCCACTCCACCACAGTCACAACTGCCGACTCAAAGTGCTGAGAAGTCTTAGCGCGCTGTGTGCGCCTCGCGTCTGGCATCAAGTTCAGCGATGGCTGCCATCCAAGCTCTCGCCAACAAATGGAACTCAGAGAAATCGAACATGCGAATGTTGCAAGATAGTTCTGGCTTGCCGTGGCCTTTGGGGTTCTCGGGCATGTGGTGTGATGGAGTTTTGACTTGCAGATTTGGCCCCAAGGCAATGCAAACGTCCACCCCGGCATGGCCCCTTCAGCCGACAAGGTGAGGCAACAGAATCCTACTGCAGCTTCTGCACTGAAATCGCATAATTCTGATTTGTGACAGGCATTTGCACACAAGCGAGAAGAGAAAGCTGCACTGCATCCTCCACCACATCCATGCTCTGATTTGCACATGTGACACCCGCAAAACCCCTAAGTGAGTAAGCTGCTGCTCGTTCCTGGAGATCAGGTCTGGACAACTTGTTTCGGAGCTTCTTCCAGCGAACGCTGACATTTAGAGGCAAAGCCACACTTTCTCCGAGCCAGTTTCAGATCGTGCGCTTCTAGGAGAGTTGGCAGTTTTGGCTCAGGATCCAATGCTGGAACATGAGGCTTTAGACTTCAGACCGACGTGCAAACTGTTTCTGTCCAGCTCAGCTATCCACACAAGCTGGCTCTGGCATGGATACTGATTACTTGGCAGTTGTACTGCGCTGGTCACGAGACAGGAGCCTCCCTGGGCATGTCGGCAGCCACTCCAAGCACTTTACTCTGATGTTGTTGCACTGCACAAATGCGCACCTTTTCGGATCGCATGCCCAGGTTTCGAGCGTCTCTTGCAGCAACACCCACATGAGATAGGGGTGCGTAGAGGACATGATCTGCCTCATCAGGCTCTCGCCTGTTTTTCTTCTACTCAGAGCAGGCTGCCGCATACCCTGCCTACCTAGGGGTGCTCTGTGGAGTCGGAGCACTCTTGGGAAGGGGATCCATGTCTTCGATTTGGCTTACGGCTTACCAGCTACTTAGATGGATGCATTTAGGTCTAAGCCCGGCATACCTGCTCGGCTGCTAGGCATACCATGATGCCATCCCATCACTGACGCTTCTTCAGCTTGCTCTGTACCTGTCACAATCACGTGGAATCACGGCTCAACATGAAGAGAAGGCTTGTACTTCCTGCACGAGTAGGGCGCTGCGATGTCGCTGGGGACTGCAAGGCAGAGCTAGTCACAAGTTTTCTTGAAAGAGCCAGGGCCATGCCGACCAGGCATCTGAAGCAGCCGAGTGCGCCAGATTTGGTGTACTCAGCTCGGTTCATTCCACTTTTAGATGCAACCAACCATCCGGCAAGCACCAAGATAGAAGGACTCCTGAAGGTACAGTTCGATTACCTTGGTGGAGAGATACATGTGGAACCGTTGAATGTCTTAGCTCAATTGATCATACTCTTCATGGTGACACTTGAGACTTGAGATTCACCTTCACAGAACTTCATAAGGCCCCCCCCCCCCATGACCAAGCGTACGTTCAGCTTGCCTTGGCCGCCGCTGCGGCGACGTCTGGCTCCTCGTCGCTGAACAGCGCGCTGCAGCAAGTGACAAGACACCTTGTGGTTTGTTGTTTGGCGATGGATCTCTGAGAGGGTGAGGTGATTTTGTCTTTGGCCTGGCCAGCTCCCTCTGATGGCTGCGTGGCGCTGTAGTGCTGGTGAGAGCTACAAGTATTTCAAGACTGTTCAAGCTCCTGAGCCCGACCCACAACTAAGTCCGAATACTTTCATCACTTTTCTGAGCGCTACTTGCAAGCCTGCTGGCGACTTTAGCAAATGGATGCAGATGGCAAGGCTACGTGCAGCCTCGTCGCTGCATAGTGGTATCTTCTGGGCCTACTTCAAGATTCCCGTTCAAGCATGCATCGTGAGACCTTGGGCACACTTGCCGGTTGGAACCTGGGACGCCGCCATATCTTGGCACCCTGCATGCCAAGCAATGCGACAAGCACCAAGAAGGAGAAGGCTGCGCCAGCAACCATCAGAGCCTTCCCAGCTTGGGATTTAAAACCTTTTGCAGCAGCTGTCGAGGCATGCTTGTCAGCTGGCCTAAGTGCAAAGAGCAACCTGCCACTGGCGAAGCAGCTCTTGAATGCCTAACCTCCGACCTGCATTTCGTCGGTAAGACCGCCATGATCCAGCCTCCATCCAGCCCTTGTTGGCATGCGCTAGCATGCGCAAGACGAAACGCCCAGCCTGTCGGAACCCAGCACGAGACTCAGCGAATACGTTGAAGGGTTCGTGAGCGCATGAATGCACCCGCACCCTTGTGTGCATGGTTTCATGTTCAAATTCACGCCAAGACTGCCATGTGGGCTGCCCGAGTCTCGCCTCCCTTTTCCAGAACAAGATCTTCCCAAGTATCGTCCGCCCCTGGACAGGAAGCTGAGCAAGTGGGGAAAAGCTCGTACCTAAGGCACTGGATTAAGAAGCAGATCATGCGACTTCGGTCTTTCTTGGAGAAGGATTTGCTGTCTTTGGATGTCTTTGGATCGAGTCGTCTCTTGGAGGGGCCCCTCCTCAAACTTTGGCCTGGTCATGCTCTTGGAGCTCAGTCTTGGCTACCCTGCGCAGATTGTCCCTTTGGTCCAGATCATGCTCATCATCTGCACAGGGACAAGACTCGCAAACTAAATGTCGTTGGCCTTCCATGCCTGACTGCTGTTGGCAGTTTGGGTCTGCGGAAATGGGACTGGGACCGATCAAACTTCAGAGACTAGGCAAAGGCTTCCATCATGAACCTCTAGATGTAAGGCCCCCCAGAATTCCCACACAAGCCAGCACTAGCAGAAGTCAAGAAGATCAGCTCACCGGACTGGCTTGGTAGCTATTCAGACTTTAGTCTCTGCTCGGCCGTCGCCATTGGCGGTGCCGCGCGAGGCCCATCCAGGGATCTCTGCCATCGTGGCTGAATCAACGCCGGATAGTAATAATGAGAGTAATAGTTAACGTGAAGAATAATCGTAATAGAGGCAGCCAAGCAATCTTGGCTGAGTCACCTGGCCTCCTGAGTCCCACATCGGGGGAACTCAGAAGCTGCTGAGAGATGTTGGGCTCTGTTAAATTGGCAATTAACTTCACAGTCGCCACCTAGGACTGTCCACAGAGATCTCCATTGCTGTCCGTTGCAACGAGTGCGATAATTCGAGGGCATTCTGGTGAGAGCTATCTGCAAATAAATACGCGTGAAGAGCAACACATGTCACGGAGGAGGCGGAGACATCATAAGGAGGTCGTCGAAATGGCGCTGTGCTCTTCAAACTATCGCTGGCGTTATGAAGCAAACTACTTGTTTTCGAGACGGCAAAACTAACTTATGTTGCAACTTCCAGAGCCACGCCGTGCGATGGAACGGCAAGGACGCCGAACAGGGAACCATGAGCTGCTCGGCAGCTGATGCACATTCAAGCTCACTTGTTTCCTCTTTCCGATACCCATGTGTCTCATGTGAAATCTCTCTTCTGCAAGCCTGCCCTTTCTTGGAGCTTGGGAAAAATGCGCATCGGACGAAGGGAGAGCTCCTCGCTCAGCCCATGGCCCGAGTTGGGCTCTGGGCCCTGATGCATCTGACGGCATTGATTGCGTGCAACTGCGCACAGGAAACCTGCAAAGATGCAAACTCTGTGGGCCCTTCGCCCACAGATGAAACAGCAGCTATTTAAAACACAAATATTTCATCAACGCTAAGCCGAACTCGCCGAGAAAATCAGACTTCCAAACCTGACAGCCAGACAGGGGTTTCGCAGCTCAGGCTACAAACAGCTTCGCGGAAGCGTTCCGGCATGACTTGTTCGAATACTTCCCGCCTG